ATAAATTTTTTTTTTTTTTTTTTTGGTACTGTTTATTTTTAATATGTATGTATAGTTTTATTATTTTTTTTATTTTAATTATTTATTTTAGTACATCAAGTTCAACTAAATGAAAATGATAAAAGTTGTTGTGGCAACTATCTTAAAATTATTATTTTTTAAAATATTTTACATTATTTTATTTACCATTTATTTTGTTACCTTTTTATTATATATATATATATATATATATATATATGTAACGGTGCACGTTCATGACGTATGACATAGGTGTGGTATAAGCTTGGGTGAGAATATGCTACTTTCGTTAGAACCCAGTTTTTTTTTTTTACAGCAAAGGAAAACCAGTCTCCCCTCAACTTATATCGAAATCCTCCAACATTTTGCTTCCGCGTTCATCACTTTTCACCGGAGCTTACGCTATACCTACTTTATCCGCTGGATGCCACTCTCTCGTGAACGTGCGTACCACAGTTAGCGGAAGCTAGAGAACTATACCTTAAAGAATTGGCCACTGAATAGCATCTATTGTGGAGCATTGCTCTCTCATTAAGCTGTAAGTTAAAGATAAATGAATACAAAAAGTCTTGATATTTTCTAGCACAAATGGCACACGGTATTACCAGAATGCCTTTATCATTCTGCAGTGCATCAGTGCAAAATACTCTTGAGATTTTAACCCTGTTGTCAACAAACAAAAGGTCTGTGAAGAGCATGTGACCGATGGTGTAGCGCACACATCATGCAGAAAGACAGATTCGTCACAGCATGTCTCAAGAGTCTCCAGGCCCGAGATCTAATTACTGATGAAGAGAGCAAGCTCTATTGTATTCAGATAAGGCTCTCAGTAAAGGGGCCCATCAAGGTTTGGCCCAGAGAGCACGGCAGACAAACCCAACAAACCCCGGCTGGCCCTTCAGCCCCATGTGGAATGTTTGGTAGAGCGAGGCCTCGGGAAGGCAACTCAGGACACAGTGCAAAAATACAGCTGCTGCGCGTCATCAGGGACGTGGCAGCTGGCCAAACCAAAGACAGCGTGCCTACAGGCATGCATTGAGCCCAAGAAACATGGCCTTGTATATTGTGTGAGAACACACGACTCACAAATTAAGAGATAGTTTCAGAACACAGTCAAACTCGCTGATGAGTTGGTTTACTGGCAGCAACTTTTATAACCACAAAACGGTTTATTACATTCATAATCGTATAACACCATTTAGAAAATACATTACCGCAGTCCCTGGTGGGTCGTGACCCAACAATGACAGACAAGCCAGGAAAAAAACAATACTAAATGCAAATCTTAAAATGCAACTAAACATTCAGCCATACATAACGAGGATGGCAAAATAAATAGACTAATAAATAGAAAAGTCAGAAGAAAACACTTCCCTATGTTTAGTTATTGATGTCAAAGGCTGTGTGTCCAATCCAACTCTTGGAGTAAATTCATTTTCTGTTCATAGAAGCTTGTCAAATTAGACAAATGCCAACCAGGGTTATTATAGTTAACTAAAATTAAAACCATAAAAATAAATTATTTCGCTAGTTGCCAAAGCATCATTTCTAATTTTCATTTACTTTAACTTGTACCAAATAACTAAAACTGAAATTAAAAAAAAATTATAAAACTACACAGACATATTTAACACAATAATAATAATCACAAATTCAAAATATTAAACAAAACTATAATAATATGTCAATTCTACTAAAATAACACTTCTTTCAATATGGACAGGTTGTGTGATATGCCCTCATCCTCAAAAACCATCAACAAAACTTACAGAAGCTCAAAGACAACACAATATTAAATACATGCAAGAATGTGTGACCACAGTTTGTTTTGTGAGTAGAGAAAAACCAATGATATTCAAGAAACATTTACAAACCAAAACTGTCAATGCCATGTACTGTAGGCCTGCAACTAGCAAACATTTCGATATTTTGAGTTGGTAACGATAAATTACTGTTTGCAAGGCTGTGAGCACATATTTAACATTCAGCCACTGAAAAACCCATATGTGCATCGAAACGGTGATGTATTCATATTCAGCACATTTGCAGTAACAGCTGGTGTGGATTTTACAGCAGTGTGTAGCTGTGAAAAAAAGCCCTGTGGCTCTACGGGCCTGGAAATATGCCACATAGTCCAAAAACTACCTCAAAATCTCTTCACACGCTCGTCCTGAGGAGGAACCCAGAAAAGCAGACATTTGGTAAGGCAGCAAGTCTTTCTTTCAGTAAGGAATATGACACGAAGTGCACACTTTTCTGTTAAAATGACTTACTGTGCACACATAAAATATTTGTTAGATATCATCTAGATGGAGACAGTGAGATCTTATGCAGGAAATGCCATGGAGCACGTGTTAGTTGCATAGGAAAGGAGGCATTGTGCACAGTCACATGTCTTGGAAACCAGACAGTAGCACGCAACAGTCACACACACACACACACACACACACACTCCATGTGGCTATACACTCTCTCCTCTGACCAAACTTCCTTTCTCCAATTTAGTCATCGGTCTGAATAATCTTAAAGCAACAAACACGCACTCAGCCGAAACTAAAGATCAGCCTGAACACACTGTGAACTGCAGATCAAACTCGCCATATCAATCTGTCTCAAACAGTTAGTTTATCTCATTGAGTGTGCGGCCGTGTCTCTGTTCATGTGGTTTCAGAGTTAAAAATGACATCCGGTTACAATGAACAAATCAACTGCTGAGGAATCATGCTACAATGAACTTCTTTTACAAATAAAAAGTTGCAACTGGAGATCATCAGCATATGCTGTCACAGAATGAAGCAGATACAATCAAATGTAATTGACCTCTGTGTGACTTCAATCTGTATAAGATTAAAAAAAAACATTGATCTGTTTGTTTTCTGTATTCACGTAGCTACTCCAAGGTTCTTCAAAGAATATCACAGCCCAAAAATGTATAATAATAATGTATAATAAACATAATAAATGTATAATAAACGTGTAATACGATGCTACCATTTTCAGATAAACAATGTTATACCATGGCACCAACGTTGATAGTACCATGTCCAAAAACAGTACTTGACAGGCCTTAGGCAGTTTTGCAAAAGTAAAGTGAGTTGTAACAGTGTTTGTGATGATCTGCAGAAACCATCATCATCATCATCAATCTACATTAAAACACCAATAAACTCGAAGAGGCGCGCGCACACGTTCTCACATTCTGCTCGCAAAAAAAAAACACATTCCACCGAATCCACCTGCATTCCTTCACTGCCACACTTTTATTTTTTCTAAGCAACTTTCATTAGCTAAAAACAAATGACTTGAATTTGAGGCTAATGTTCACGAGGTTAGAGCAAACCTAAGTTTCAGTTCTAAGTAGCCTATATGACATTACCCGCCGCACTGAAATCTAATCTCCATCAGTGACTCATAAAACTATATCAAGTAGGAAATAAAATATGGCCCATATGCGTCATGCAGTCCTGCCATCAAGACCTAAATATGATGCGTGTCATATATTTACCCAGCGAGCTTCTCCTCCATATAAGAGCGCGACGCTCTGTAGCGGCGTATTTCTGTGGATGTGAAGTTTCCAGCGGGGTCCGTATTCAGCCAGACCCTCCTCACCTCCACTACTCTCTCCCTACCTACAACGCCAGCGCTCTCCCCATTTGCCTCTGTCTGAGTCTCTCTCTCTCTTTCTCTCTTTCTCTCTCTCACAGTTCAGGAAGTGATTTCGCGTTCAGTCTGACATCATTCTCGAACGCTTTCAGGAGTTTTTAAAGACACAGTCGGACCGTCCCGTACATTTCATATCTAATTAACAATTATGGCAAGCCGTTTTAACAAAGTAAACGTCACTATGTTCAAGTACTTAAAGGGGTCATATGATGCTTTTTTAAAGATCATTATTTTGTGTATTTGGTGTAACAGAATA